CTAGTGTAGACTGCGAATAACCGTTATGACCTACACGGCGAATCATGAAAAATGAGAGTCAAGTCCATTCTCAAAAGAGGAAATAGAAATGAAACATGTAATTTATTTTCGTTGCTGAATGAGTATGGACGAAACTGAAACCAGCAAAATTGGTCTCACGCAGAGAATGAAGTCTACGTTTACCGTTGAACCTGAAGATCTGTCCCTTATTAGTCATACTGTAATAGAGACGTTGTGGGGGTTTCAGTGTAATGAAAATCGGATCGTATTAGAAGTTAGTATCGCATTTTTGTCTCATGTCATGAACGAACAAGACAAAGACAGATTATAAATAAACGAATGATTTTCCAAAAGCTCAATAACCACACGTTTCCGAGTACCGCTGATTGGTTGTTCAATACGGCACGTGGGTACTGTATACATGAATCCATTTTCAACCGCTACCGATAAACTTTTAAATCGCTTTCTTTGATCATTTCAACACTCCTTTAATATTCCAGTGGAAAATATGAATTTTGAAACTGCTGCATTAAAGACACTGCCATTTATTTTTGAGTTACACCTTGTGTTGATTTTCCGTCAGCTAGCAGGTAGGTCACTCGTGCCATATCGAGGGCTTGGAAATGGTACAGGATCCCCCTCCAGTAGATTCTGAACTTATGCTTTCTGCCAGTAGCCACTGTTGTCTGTAGTTAGCCAAAATCTCACAGAGTGCTAGACTCCTCTGAGTCGGTTTGAGTGGTGGCACGTTATGCAAGCGTTGGCCATATAGCACCCACACTGCCATGCGAAACTGCTAGTGACAAAGACGCACGAGAGAGAACATTGGATGAACGTAGCTAAGGAATGTGGCTAGCGATTGTGGCGTGTCCATAATGCGAAGAGATCGGATGAAGGACAAGGTAGCCAAAACGGAAGGCCAAGCTTCAGACAGAATGGTTGTGTGCCTCGCACGTCAGATTACCATGGTGACCGCAGGTCAACGATTTTTCATCTGTTTCTTGGCTGGCTACCCTGAAACACAGTGAATTAATTGGTGAGAAAATTCTAAATCAAGCAATGGATCCGAAGCATCTAAGTATCTATGCTGCAAGTTAATACTATCACTCACCGCAACATTGCCCCTCTTCATTTCTCTGTCTCCCCATGATGTACATGGTTATATTGAATGGAACACTTAGTATCGTACCGATTTTGAATAATTACAGGTTTTCAGCCTCCGGCTTGCTTTTATACGCCTGCAGCGCTGTTATGATGTTGTGATCCGTTTAGGTTATAAATAATCTACAAGTTACTATGCTGATTGTAGAAGTAACTATAAGGTTGTTCTCAAACTCTGTCCAGACAGTGACCAGGACAAAAGCTCAATCGACGACCTTTTGATGAAGTACAAAAGAGCTAGACACCGGTATCATGAATTTACTAGCAAATCGTTAACTATAACTACAACTGGTTAGAATAATAATCTCCTATCAAATCTTGGGAAATTTTTATGGCGTATTCGCAGCGTTCCCTTGTTTCAAGTAGTTAAGTTGAACGTTAGAGCAAGCCACGACTCCATGGTTTCGTAGGACCTGCAAAATATGGATGCAAACCGGCATCACTGTGCACGGACGAACAAACTCGCGTTGGTACACCTACAAAATCTTTCCCTTCATAAACAAAACATGTTTTATGTTTTCAAACAGAAAACTGAGCGCACGAAAATGGAGATTTTATTACCTATATTTGGAGCGAAATGGCGGAGTCAAATGCTGTCGTAAGTCATGGATTAGAATGTCCAACTAGAGTGAGCAAATGACTGCAAACGAGGCGTTTATGACGGTGGGAGCATTCGTTAGCAAACGGATAATAGGTGCTTTGCGAAACGCCGCTGAAAGCCACCAGGAAGACATTCAGCAAGATGGGAAGATTTCATTAAAACTTACACGACATAAAAAACACTGAAAGACTGCGGGCTCGGATATATTTTGTCAAGGTGGAATTCTGGTACCATATCCGGCTTTGTGTTCGACGCGGCGGGATAAGAAAAAAAGAAAAAGAAGAGGAAGAAGTAGAAGTAGAAGATTTCACGTTCACAGTGAGGCGAATGGTCAGATATCGAGTGAACA